CCTGAGGGAGACTCGAAGAGGGAGACCCGAGGAGGGAGATCTGAGGGGGGAGACCTGAGAGAGACCTGAGGGAGACCCGAGGGAGACCTGTTGGCCGGCGCGTACCGCACGCTCCACGCGTGGCTCCTCGTGCTTCCGCGTGCGCCCCGTGCCAAATATTGGCCCAGCGTCGTGTGTCGTTCCCCTACCGGCGGGGCGGGGCGGGGCAGGGTGGTTGGATGAGTTTCATCGCACTACTGGAGACGCCAGACCCACTCCCTGACCGGCCTCGTAAGCGTTGAGTCGCGCGAGAGAAAAGAAGACGGAATAATAACAATAAATCCCACAGCGTGACGCGACAGTTTGCGGAGCACCGGCCCCGGGGCGGCCGGGGGCAAGGACAAGGGCCGTCTACATCGTCGCCTCGTCGCTCCCTCCTCTTTCTTCTTCTTCTTGTGGCCTCCTCCTGCTTCGTGTCTTCCCTTTCCGCGAGGCTTGCGCAGCTCGAGACTAATTCTATGACCCGGGTCATTATGTAGGGTCTCGATTTATTCTGTTGGTGTCACCACTTCGGCTCCGTCTGTGACCCTTCGCACTCGGTGGAAATTTTACAGTTAAGAATTTTAGTTCAATGGCGTCTTTAAAGACGCTCAATTGAGCATGCAAGCACTCTCAGCCCGTTCCCAACAATTTGAACAGAAGGACGAACTACTTTGTACAGCGGTACTACTCACAAAATTTTGTAAGTAATACGAATTATTTTGATAGTTGTTACTTGCAATAGTTCATTTTAAGTCCACTGAGAAAATAACTGTTCTTGAGTGCTAACAATGTCATCAATATTACTCGCAAAATTTGTGAGACACTACTTCCGTTTCCGTTCAAAGAAGTTCGTCGCCCACTTCGAATAAAGTCAGTATCGGGCAGAGAGTGAGCGACGATGTTGAAGCAATGGCCACACTGCGGCGGTCCTGATCGATTTTTCAATTTCTACATGAAGTAATGGCTGAGTGTTTAGTTCAGCAGCACATGGTAAGGTCTCCACACTCACCTTGCACGTGGCCATGCTGGCCCTTGGAAACGCTGGTGGTGTGCTCGGGGTGTGCTCAGGGAGTGCTCGCTCGGGGTGTGCTGGGGGAGTGCTCGGCGTGCTCCGGGCGTGCGACTGGACGCGAGGATGGCGCGGGACGCGTTTATAAGCGAGGGGGGTTCGGATGGCTCCTGGGTGAGGGGCGAGGGGCGGGCGGCCGCGGGGGCCGCGGAGGCCGCGGGGGCGACGGAGGCGGCGGAGGCGACGGAGGCCGCAGGTCGCCACAGTGTGCACGTCGTCTCGGGGCCGAGCCGTGTACCTGCACCTTTATCCTGGACCTGGTCCTTAGGCCTGCGCTGGCCCTCAGGGCCGACCTCGTGTCGTCGCGGGGCGGAGGATCGTTCCCACGGTCCTCTCGGAGTGTCACTGCGCCGCTCCCGTCACACAGAGTTCAAAGAGATGGCGCTTCGTTCCGGAACTAGACAAAACAAACTTGCAACTTGCAAAAAAAAAAAAAGAAATAAAGAAGTATGTGTTGCGCGGGGGTCACGTGAGTTTAGTTGTCGCGGTCACACACACGGTCATCATCACATCATGAACCGTCTGCTTGCGCAACACTCGCCGAACACTTGGCGGGGAAGCTCTCGCGGGCCCGGCAAGCGTTCGGCGCGCGCAGAACGAGAGTGTGCTTGACGTGTTTTGCGTGCGGATGGCACGACGATGACTTTACGACATTTATTTATTTTCGGTCACAGCGGGTGTTTCCGTGCGCGGGCGGGTTTGCCTACTCCGCCTCTTGCCTCTGAACATATATTCTGTGGTCCAAGTGTCTGCTCTCCCCCGCTGCTGCAGAGGACCCTCTGATCTCTGCATTTGTTTCAAAGGTAAAGCAGGTGGCTCGTTATGGACCAGTCACGATGACACTTTTGCGACGGTCCTTTTTGGCGCCAAGTCCTGCACACACCCAACATGGGCCGCCGCCACTACTCCGCTCCGCCCGCCGTTCGGTAATGATTCGCCGGGGAGCTTCCGCGATCCGCAAACCTCCCCCTGCCCCGCTCCCCCCCC